AGCGAAAAACGCGTATCTCAATTTTGAAAATCATCATAAGAAATTACCTCTTCCAGTTGTAGCTTATGCTGATTTTGAATGTTTAACTAAACCAATGAATAATTGTAAACCTGATTGAAACAGATATCAGAAACATGAACCTTGTGGCTTTTGCCTCTACATTAAACCATTAATAATACTGACATAGAAATTGAACCAAACCCATCAGGTTACACAAAGAAAAGGGACGATGAAGACAGCAAAAGTATTTGTGCCAAAAAAAAAATTACACAAAAGACTTACGATTATTTTTATAAAAATCCAAAAAGATGATAATGTGAAGAGTGCGGTGATCCCATTTGGGAACACAGAAACGTAAATACACACGGCAGTTCAACAAACAACCATCTGTAATTCATCCGTAAAACTACTTTACAAAATCCCCCTTGTGGACTTGGGAGGGGAAATTCCCCAACAGGGGTGTAGACTCTATGAGGCCTTTGCTACACTAACCCTCCCTTAAAATACTCTTCCCACAGTGTAACGTGCTGACGTGAAAGGAAACAAATCGGCCAACCCTAGACCCGCGAAGATACGAAAACGTGTAATAAAAAATGTCAGCAAAGCCATTGAAAATTCGTACAGCGTCGTTGTTTAGTGTCTGAGTTATTTCCGGAGTTACACCCCATCACCTTGACGGATTGGAGGTCTTTTCGTCTACAACAGCGGTTGTCTGTCTCGTTCGGTTGAGTAGCTTGATAGTCACTAGCCAACACCGCTTCATCTGCATCACTCGTACTCACTTCAGCTTGCACATCACCCGTATCATCTCTATCCCAGACTCCGTAGCTACACTTCCACTAGGCTCGCGTCCTCTTGCTACAACTGAAACAGGGCCACTAGTGATTACAGGCTCACTCTCTTGAGCACAAACAGCTTGAGATACAACAGGCGTAGTAGACTCCTCTCCCTCCGAAATCTAGCTCCTCGACGCAGGTACGGCTTAAGACGGTCTTTATGGATCACCTTTGGTTTCGCCCTTCGACTTCTTTGTATGCGGTAGTTTACGTCAGACAACACGGACCCTACTAAGTAAGGACCTTCCCAGGGGCAATCTAACTTGGGATTCCTGCCTTTCTTCCGTCGAATATTGTGCAACCAAATACTGTCACCAGCCCAAAAAGGCTTGCTGGATAATCGCTTGTCATCATTTCTTTTCTGGTGTTCAGCCGCCTTTGCTTAGTGTCGCCGCGCCGCCTCTTGTGCGCTAGCCAATACTCGGTTTATGGAGGTTCCACGTGAGGAGTCGACTCAGTAGTTACATCCAAGGGTACTTCAATTTCCCGCCCTAGCATAAGCATGTTTGGTGTCTCGCCGGTGGAATCTTGGACATAACACCATCATACACGTGGGAAGTTGCAAGTCCCAATCGTCTTGACTCTCTTTCGACTTGCCTCGAAGCATTTCAATCAATGTTCGATTTTAATGTTCTACCTGGCCGTCCGACTGTGGCTGTTGCGGAGTCGTTCTCATTTTCTCAATGTCCAAGAGCTTACATACTTCTGACATAACTTTGGACTCGCAATTAGTCCCTGGATCGCTGTGTATCTCCCGTGGAACCCCAAAACGACAGATAAATTCACCCACTAACTTCTCAGCTACCGTAGAAGCTTCTTGGTTCAAGATAGGATAGCTTTCCGTCCACTTTGTGAAGTAGTCCGTTACAACAAGAATAAATTTATTCCCGCGAGGATTCAGAAGAAGTAGCCCGAGTATGTCCATTGCAAGGCATTCCATTGGTGCACCGACTACATACTGCTTTAACGTGGAACGTCTCTTCTTACCCCAGTTCTTTTTGGTTCCACACACATGACAAGCTCTGACCCACTGCTTAACGTGTGAAGTTTGTCCTGGCTAGTCGTATTGAGCCCTTAGTGCTCCAAGTCCTTTGTTAACACCCCAGTGACTCGCAGTAGTATGGTTATGGTGAGCTCTTAGTGCCGTCCCGTGCGGGTTCTTTGGGAGGATGATCTGGTACTTGGCTCTGGAACCACTTTGCTCTTCCCATCTCTGACATAATACTTGATCATGGAGCTCCAGCTGGTCCCATTAAGCCCAAAGTGTCTTCGCAGTGCGGGCATATGGAGAAACATCCTCCCACTTCGGCCTCACAGCACGTGCCTTCTTGAATTGGATTATGACCTTGAGGCTGGTATCCTCTCTTTGCTGGCCATGAAGGTACTCGCGAGTCCAAGATGGTTCCCATCGGATGGTGTTGCATTTAGAGTCGGGCTGACGTGGTGGACAATGTTCAGTGTTGACAAGAACTCTGTTTCACCCTGTTTGTCCTGAGGAATTTCCGTTTGCTCTGCCTCAAACCCTTTAGACTCCAACATTGAAGCATCAGTTTGAAGCGCAGCACTAACCATGTGTTTATCCTTCTTCCACTCCTTACACCATTTACATCCACTACCACCAGGTCTTCGTTACTTAGCATCGGTATTCTGATGCTGCGAACCTTCTTGTTACTTAATATCGTAGCTAAACGAATCCATGAATTCTATCCACATGGTCAGCTGCCCCTCTGGTTCCATGACCTTCAGAACGGTGCAGCGAGGTGCATGGTTCGTTCTTATGCGAAATTTTCTGCCCTTGTAAGTAATGGCGAAAACACTTTACGTAGTCCACTACCCACGGCACTTTCAAATGGCTGAGATCGGAAATTTGCTTTGCGACCGCGCAATATTAACCAAGATGGGATTGACCATATTGACCATATTAACTTCCAGTTAATAACTAACCGGTCCTTTAAGAATGACAGTGTTTTTTGTTCCCAAGCCAAAAAAACACAATGCGCCGCAGACGGCGATGGAAGATTTGTATGCGCAATAACTGCATTTGGAATCTTTAGGTCACGAACCCATAAGGGATGTGACACAGGAGTGTTGAGTCATTATTGTGGGAGTTGTAAAGCGAGTCCTTGTTGAACCACGTAATGTTATGGCGCGGCTTCCGTATTACGCAAATGTTGAAAATTAAAAGCGCCCTCCCTCTTCTTCTGAAGTTTTTGTCGCTGCTTCATTGCTTTTTTTTTTATCATTAAACTATATGTTATAGCCCTCTGCGAGTAAAATTTTAGTCCCGTTTCTCTTAATCCCGATTTAAGACAACTTTATATCACAACATTTTTCGTTCCGCTGCGACAATGGCGTAAATTCACACGAAGAATCTAGCTGACATTTGCCGTGTATGTGGCGAAAGGCTTTAAAAATGCAACCAAGCGGTTACTTCAAAGTTTCTCTGTATGAAATGGAAAGATTTCTTGTCCGAAAAATTTGAAATTGTTGTGGAAAAGCATCTTGAAGAAATACACCAGCAGTATTTTTTGTCATTCATGTTACGCGTTTCCTGACCGAAGAACACTGGTTACAGCCACATGGCTTACTCATTACGATGATAACTGTAGAGTATGTTCCCATGAAGAAGAGATAAAAAAGGAGGACGGCCCAAGAAGCCAAAAAGGGGAACGAAGGCCGATTCAAGACCTTCTTCCATGAGACAAAGGACGCCAACGAAACCTCTTCACAAGATCTTGAAGAGATAACTAAAGACTTACCTTCTCTTCGTTTCAAGAAGTTTTCCGATAAATTTTCCTTTCCCGAAAATATGAAACGAGATTTAGTTTGCCCGGTTTGCCTTTAAGTCTTGGATTAAGCCAGTGGAAACCACTTGTCAGCACTACTTTTGTGTAGAATGCCTAAAGGGCTTAAGTAACAGTGGTCAAAGGGGTACATGTGCTGTCTGTAAGGAGAAAGTTGACCCTGTAAAAATCCCTACACGAATGGTTCTAGAATAAATTGCTGAGCAGGATGTAATATGTAAGAAATGTGTCCAAACTGTGCACTACGAACACAGTTCATCTCATGTTTGTTCCAATGACACTGCACCTGTTACTGAACAGCCTCCAGCGATGGCAGCTCCCCTTGATCCCACCCAGACTTTGCAGCAAGTTCTAAAAGACGCTCAAGCTGGTAATTTCTTACCAGAAGTGGAAAAAAATTGCACGGCATATGTCAGGAGTAGAATTTAGAACGCCCCAGATGGAAAAAATGTACTGTTCAAGACTGGTGGAAAGGTAACTTTATGTTTTGAATTTGTCCTCTAATTAATCATTCTTCCCTCCCCTTATGGCATGTGCTCATTGTACCTATTAAATGTTGTTTTAGCCTTTAGGTGTAGTACATGTTCCTGTTGCCCAAAAACCCTCTGATCAACTGACCGCTAGGCAGCGTCTTAATAGGACAAAAGCAATTGAGACAGTGAGTAAAACCATAAGCAGTGACCAGATGGATGTGCACATGGTACACACCCTTACATGGAAGAGTCAGGAGGAGAGAAGGCAAATTTTGCATGACGCCCCGGGGAAGGAACTTGTTCTGCACATTCCGGAGGGTCAAGCAAATGCCTTGAAGGCAGATCTGGAGATCATCTGGTACCGTCTCAATAAACCAAGAAGGTATGTTATAGTTTAATCATGTTTTAATTGACTCATCATGTTAGCATGAAAATTGTTAGCACAAAATTGGGGGAGATCATGGGCAAGGGTCAATGAAATTAGAATTTCAATCGGCCAACCTCGTTAAACCCAACTCTAGCAAAAAACTGTGGTATTTGTCATTTATGAGGGTAAGGATACCCGAAACAGTCTTCTCACAGTCCTTCAACAGCACGCTGATTCTCTGAAGGAACTTACTACTCTAAAAGTCAAGTAAGTTAATAATCCTATGCACAAATTATTACCGGCAATACAAGTCTCATTATTCTAGTATTAATTTGGATGACTGTATAAATTATATTTTAGGAACAAAATCCCAGTCCTCTTCCTTTTTGGGGATAACGAATTCCTTTGTAAAGTTATGGGGATCAGTGGTGCAAGTGGGAAGCAAATCAGTGTAACAAATTTTAATGCACTTTGAATGCTAAAGTAAACTCAGGAACTCACAAATTCAACATTCTTTGTAGGACGTCATTCATGCCTCCAGTGTACCATCTTAGCTAGTGAGATGAAACTCCCAAAGAATCAAAGAAGCCCTACAACATCTCGTACCCTGGAACACCTTCAGAATTGCCACAAAATATTCATTGATGATGGGGGTGACATAAAAAAGGCAAAGAACTACTGCAATGTAATCCAGAAGGCAATTTTTTGAAATCCCAGTTGATCAGGTATAACATCTTATCTAGAAACCTTTTTCAAGATAATGTAGATTATTCCTTTTGTATTATTTCACTAATTTTGTTTTTCATGATAATCTTCAGATATGCATTCCTTGTCTCCACATTAGCCTTGGACTGTTTTTGAAGTTTTTTGATATGCTTGTTGGGGAGAGTGATGAGTTAGATACAAAGATTGCCTGGAAATTGGCTGAAAGCAGTAGTCAGCTAGATGGTATGGGTGATCTTAATGAGCACGTCACACTTCGTAGACAACCTGGAGAACACTCAAAGGCAGCCCAAGTTTACGACGCACAAGCTCAGTCAACTGAGGATTACGTGGTACACCTTCTGACGGTGGCCAGCAATGTTATAGTGTTTGACGAGGACAATGAAAGCCCTTTGATAGCATCGTTACTAAACTCTGTAAAAGAATTCAAAGAGAAGGCCGAAAATGAGGTTTGTTTTTTAATTGAAGAGCATGAAACTATGACAACTTGGACAATTAAAAAATACTTGATGTCAAATTGATAAATGGAAATGAGATTTTCTTGACATTGGTTTCAGTTTATTCTTTCTGACTCTTGTTATTTACTTTTATAGGGAGCGCAGTCACTGGCCATTAGGTCCAGTAATTCACTACCGAAAAGATCTGGGACAGTGAATACTGCGACTGAGAAATTTCTGCAGAAAATTGATGTCAAAAGACTAGCCTACCACAGTCAAAGTTTTGTTGGCAATCATGTTGACATCTGCCTTATGGTAATAAGTCAGAACGAAAAACCTATCGATATTGGTGATTACTATTCAGACTTGTACCTATGATTAGTAAAGTTTAATCATATTATCCTTTTTCAGGCAAACAACATCAAATCTTTGTGTGAAACGATTTCTGAAACGACAAGGACCACATCTCCATCTCTTTTACATGAGGCCTTGCTATCCAGAAGAAGTTTGAATCACTGTTAACCCTGTTTCCCCGGTGCCATTCAAAATACAGTTCCAGTGAGGCAGTGGAGGACACAGAAATTGATGTGTTAGGTACAACAAAAACCTTGAGATCGCCAATTTTTACATCACCTGTATGAGTTTCTGGGATTCTAATATTTTGTCTACCTTACAATTGTTGTCAACAGAGACAGATATAGAAGAGTTTGTGTGTTTCTTCAGGACATCTTTCCCTTTCCTTCCTTTCCTCCCAAGCTCCACGTGCTCGAGGAACATATTATTCCTTTCATGCGCAAATGGCACTTCCCTCTAGGCTTCTTCGGTGAGCAAGAAGTCGAAAGTGTCGACCATGAATTTGTCCAGCTTGCATCAACATTTTCTCATGTGAAGCCAGCGACATCACGACTAAAGAAAACGATGGAAGAGCATCATTTAGTTGTTCATCCTATAAAATGAGATATGATTCCAGAGAGAAAGAAACGAAACTTAAAACGAGACCAACCCCAGCAAGAATAAGTTCATAATAATGCGCTTACTTTAGTTGAAAAGCTGAGAGCTTCTTGCAACCAAAAAATTACACAGTTTATTAACCAAATTGAAGTCGTAAACAGCTGTTAGGTTGAGCTTTCTAAGCATATGTTTTGGCATGTAAACAAGATTTATTTTTGCTCAGGTTGGTCTGTGTTTACTACATTTTTTAAATATTATTTTAATAAACGTGACTGAATCTAGTTTACAGTCGTTGCAAATCACATGATAAAAACATGAAATAAAAAGCTAATACCAGAAGTCTATTACAATTACTCCGCTCTTTAAATCATATGGCTTTCTTTGCGAGAAAAGGAATAACACCGTAAAGAAGATACCAACGCCATCAGTAGCGGGAGACAACATGGTGGCGAGAATCCCTGAAATTGCTTTCCAAAAGAATCCTTATAGCGCGAGTAAATGAAATGGGACTAAGACACTTAGTTGAAATTTGTGGCTTTTCACCATCCATCTTCCGTTCTCAATCACTATTTCCCATGGAAAAACTTCAAAAAATCCACCAGAAGTATGTAAAATCTTTGCCAAAGAGACTAGGGTCAAACCTTGCTATCAGAAACGATGAATTTTCGTTGCTAATAAGTCAAAATCGGTCCAAGGACAGTCGGCCATTTCGATGGGTGCCATATCTTTGACCCTTCCATGATCATTTCGTGTTGTTTTCTTAGACAATAGGCTCTACCTGGCATCATTCTATTGGCTTTAAAACAAAGACCCCACTCCATCCGTTGCAGCGAACAAATCCGTTGCTAGGCGTTGCTAGGTTGAATTTCATTACCGTATCAGATAACGCTGGGCGCTTACCGCGGGCTCTGAAAAAACCCAAATTCCGCTGCGAAAGCGCCGTGTACCGAAAGCATTTTTTTTTCTTGTCACGGAGTAGTTTCTCTCAGCTTTAGTCGATGTTTGGCTGGCATACGCAACAGGATGCTCTACCCCATCCTACAATGCCATGATTGCTGGTGTCTGTGTCAAGTATAAACTTTTTAGTCTTCTCGGATAAGGACGAGAAACCGTAGGCCCCGTCTCACAAGCCCTTACACATGTAATAAATCTCTGGAACGTTAAAGAACCCGCACGCTCTTCGTAAAGAGTAGGGCACGTCGTGCCCGGCGTAGTGACCCATCTCACTTTCACACATGTATGGGGGCATCATTACTCATTCTTTCATTACTTGTAAACTGCACCTAAGCAGTCTGGCAAAGTCCCCCAACCAGTAGTGTAAATTATCCCTGAAAAGCCCTGGGGGGAGTGGATAATAAGATATTTACAATTTACATACTACGCTGTAAAATCTGGGTGTGACAAGACTGCGGCAATTGTCATTAAGGTCTTCAACGTGTCAAATGACGACTGGCAGTCAGGAGTCTAAGCAATCTAAACATGAGCTTCAGTCAGTTTGTGAAGCGGTCTGGCCACTTAAGCAAAACTAGGAATAAAGCGCCGATAATACCTGGGAAGTCCTAAAATGCTCTTTACTTCAGTCGCATTCCCTGGCACTGGCCAGTCGCACACGCGTTCCACCTTAACCGGGTCAGTTTCAATACCACGTGCTGACACAATGTGGCCCAGGTACATGACGCTCTTCTGGAACAGCACATGTTTACCTTGTTTAAGCTTAAGTCCAGCAGATTTAAACCGTGAGAAAACCTCCTCTAAGTGTTCCAGTTCCTCTGCGAACGTTTTCCATACACAATGACGTGATCTAAATAAATCACGCAGGTCTCCAACCTTAGTCCTGACAAGATCAGTTTCATTAATCGCTCCCAATTAAAGTTCTTGGTGATGACGTAAGACCGAAGGGCATGACAGTCGACTCATACAATCCTGAGGTAGTCTCGAAGGCAGCCTTGCCACTGCTAGCTAGATCCAAGGGGACTTGCCAGTACGCTGAACACAAATCCAACGTGCCGAACCATTTTTTGCTCAAAAAGCGCAGCAGCGGATAAGCATCCTTGACAGTTACCGCATTCACTTGTATGTAATCGACGCAGAATCGTTGGGAACCATCTTTTTTTGTCACTAGTACTTCAGGAGAAAACCACGGACTATTTGATTTCTTAACAATGCCTCGCTGCAACAAGTCTTCAACTTGCCTCTCGATTTCTACACTGTTTGCCAGTGAGGTGCGGCGGGGATGCTGTTTGATACGTCCCTCGTTTCCCATAACAATCTATGTTGCTCAGATAGGGAGAATACATCTTTGTGCCGATGCAACACTTCTGCAACCGCCTGACTTTCTTCGTCGGTCAACTGTTCTGAGCTACGCTGCCAACGTTCATTGAGAGGATCTGGTAACGTTTCCTCACTCTTGTCTCCACCCTCGTGTATTTTGCGAACTGCGATCTTAGGGATATCTGAGGTCTGCTTGGGAACCTCCAACTCAACTACACTGGTCAGTGGTTTGGTCACAGGTACAACAGTTTGTGCACTGATGATTTGTACTTTGTCCGATGTGTTTAGAATTCGCACAGGAACAAGTTCTGCCGATGTACAATCGTTTATCTTGAAGACGGCTGCGGCAAGGTTCGAGGATTCGCAGCCCTTGATTGGCAGTTTCAGACGATGACCTAAGATGAATGACATGGACGGGTACCACTACCTTGCATTGCGTTAGACATCTGAGGCTAAATTGCTGACCACTCTTACTACAACAGTCAATCTCCTCTCCACTAATCACCAGTTGTTGCTGGACCAAATCAATCTTCGCATCAATGTCCGACAAGAAAAATCGCAGAATCCTCAATATCAGCTACAAGCGCACTTATATTAACATTTTGGCTTCCAAACCTCACAGACAATTCCCCTGTACCATACTTATTGGTTTGACGCCCATCTGCTAAAAACACTTGTGAACCATCCTCATGCAAAGGAAATTTTAAGCTTCAGGTAATCTCTTGTTGAACTCATAGGATAAGACGTTTCTCACAGCACCCGTGTTTAACCAGAGAAGTTTACATTGTCCAATAAATCCAACGACATAAAGTCCATATGGCCGGGGTTTTTGTTGAGGTACAACAGTCACATTTTCAGCTCTCCCACTATCGCTAGTATCAGTGTCTGTAGCTTGGGTCCCCATGACATTCAGGCATCCTACTGGGTCCTCGAGGACACCCTATTCCCGTTTCCCGATTGATTATCTATCTGATGTTTAAGCTCGTCAACTTGCATTTGTAATCGTGTTCGCTCCGTCTTCATAGCTCTGACTTTACCGCCCGCCCGCCTGCCTGAACAAGTTATTGCTGTCTAACAATCGTAGTGATTCTAGTGCTTTAACAAGGGAAAGAGCTTAATGTAGCATCCATTGACAATCGCTCAAAATGCATTAAATACTCCTTAAGTGGTTGTTTACCATCGAAATCTTCGGGGAGTTGGACCGGCTTCCTAATCTTTCTGTCAACAGTAATCTGTATGTACAGACTCGGCCAGGTTTGAAATATCCTTGCTTTGAAAAGGGTTTGACGGTCGCTTAACGGAAACAGGTGTTCTTGTTTCTGCGGATGAAGCAGCCCGCGAACTCCTTTCCTGAGTGAACGAAGGCCATGGGGTCTTTATAATTTCCCTTAATTCATCAACACAGTCGAATTGAGTAGTTGTCGTGTTCTCACGTGGTGGTTTCCAAAATCCTCGAACGCACAAAAAGTGTGCTTAGATCGTCCAAATCTGCTTTAAAAGGGTCCAAGGAACTTACTGATGTCGACCACCGCTGCTACCAATGTGATGAGTGTGATGAGCTCATTTGGGAACACAGAAACGTAGAAAAACACAACAGTTCATCAAACAGCCATCTGTAAGTCATCCGTAAAACCACTTTACAAAATCCCAATATATACTAGGGAGGGGAAATTCCCCAACAGGGGTATAGACGCTATAAAGCTTTCCCTACAATACTGATGATTTTGACGATGCAAAACACTCTCATATTTGCGAGGTGGGGTTTGATAAGAAAGATAAAAAGCAAGAGATCGTTGTCATTTCACAGGTGAATATCGAGGTGCTTCTCACAACAAATGCAATCTCAATTGGAAGAGAAGCCTTTGTTACTTCTTTTCATTTTGATTCACACCTGTTTATCAAGCAATTAATTAACTGATGAAGAGTACATTTCATCTTCTAAGAAAATAAAAGTAGATCAAGGTAAATCAAAGAAAACAAAACAAATCAATCTCAATCAACTTTGAGATACGATTTATTGATGGTTTTAAATTCATGCAAACAAGTCTGGGAAATCTCGTTTCGAATTTAAAACCAGATGATTTTCATAATCTCAAAAAGTATTACAAAGAATTACAACTTTTACTTCTTACCAGAAAAGGAGTTTATCCATATGATTATGATCAATCTCTTAAATCATTTTCTTGAAATACAATTACCACTAAAATCAGAATGTTATTCCCAATTATTTTATCACTAATTTCATTAATAAGATCATCAACATAGATGATGAGTAAAATTGGACCCAGGATTGAGCCCTGGGGTACCCCATGTTCCATAGGAAGTATTTCTGAGATGGAATCTTCGTAGCGGACCCTCTGCTCTCTAAGTGACAAATAGCTAGAAAACCAGGAAACGGCCGACTGCATCAGGCCAAATCTGCGCAACTTCGTTAGAAGATAATTGTGATCTAAGCTATCAAATGCTTTCAACATATCCAATAGTATTAACAGTAATACACTATTTTCGTCAACTGCTTTGAAAGTTTATCAGTGACATATACAAAAGCAGTTTCTGTTGAATTGTGGTCCTTTTTGCCACTTTGATGAATTGACAATTTGTTATTTCTTGTTAAAAAGTCAGAAAACTATTTTTGTGCAAGCCCCCCAATTACCTTTGACAAGATAGCCAATAGAATGGTGAGAGTGCAAAGAATTGACAGCATTTATTTCATTTTGTACCGGTATTTTTACATTTTTGAGGTATCTTAAGAACTATTTATCGTATAGTGCCTTAAAAAATCTAAAATCAATTTTCAAAGAGCGTCTAAACTGCCATAACAGATACAGCATAAACAAAACAACCTTGTGCCTGGGTGCCTGCGTATCTTCTATGAAAAACCATGTGATTCCGCATCTGCTTATCCACTATGGCTCTGTGAACCAAACCGACCATATGATCGCGTATCTGCTTATCCTTTTATCGCTTGTAATAACCAATGGCCTGGTTGCATACTGAAATAGCATTTCGTGTCCCAAACGAAATCATTATCACTTAAAAAAGGTTGACCATAATTATTTTCTAATTCATGTGTCTCATGTTAACTGCAATAAGGCCGTCCCATGGTATATACCTAATTCAATAAAGTTGCTTTGGTTTTTGGCCATTAGGTATTTGGGCATACGGAAATCGCTGCAATGGTCTGCCTGAGTGACTGCCAAACAATAGCTTCCCAGTGCGTAATTGCCCAATGCCTTTTCAACCTTTATTGAAGCAGGTATTTACGAAATGCTTCGTTTGGTATCCCTGGAACAGCTGCTTCAAATAGCGAAAAAGAAAAAGAATACCTAAAAGTAGCCAATTACCGTACAGGTGCATTGCAGACATACTGTTGAAACTAACGGTGATTTTAGAAAGGGAAACCGCCAGCAAGAGTTTCCAGCCTTAAAAAAATGGCCTTTCTTAAGATAGTTTCCTCTTTGATATTTCCATCTCCTCATAACGGTCCATTTCGCTTTTTGTTCATTGCTAACCTAGCTACAAAGGACTAACTGAAGAAAACTGGCCTTAAAAGGTCTAACTTCATCGTTTCCTTTTTGATATTTCGTTCTCTTTCGTTCGTATCAAACGCGCTATTTTGCTTTTTTATTTATTGCCTTTTCACTACTTAGAACTAGATCTATCCTCAATTTGTTTCCTTATTCGCGGTAAAGGCCACAGCTCCTCTCTAGGCTCCCAACAATTTCTTCATCGAATATCCCTGTTAGCATAAGAAGAAAGCAAAAAAGCAATTAATATTTATTAGGCTTTCGTATTTTCTTCTGTCAAATTTCTCTTGGTCTTGGTTATTAAGTAATCGCGCAATGACAGAGCACCTCTCTCGGAAATAAATAACAGCAACAACAAATAAGCAACAACTACCAGTATCGTTTTTTTTTTTCGAGATCATGTGTGCATGCCTGTTTCTAAGTCCTGAGAGTGACCAACATCAATTTTCTTCAAACAATATCAATACGTCATCCAGGGAAAATGTTAAGGGAGTTAATAAAATGGTCACCAAGAGAAAATGCTTAGATCTTTTTAATCAAATTCTATCAATTAATTTTTAACTGGAGATTACTCTCGTGAATTTCTATGTTTATACTACTACATGAGAAATTCCTGCAATTTGACTGGCTTAGGGCAGTGGTATTTCGGCTTAATTTGAAATGCCTACATGTGAAAATTACAAACCTTTTGCGGGTAGTAGTATAAACAAATAATAGCATGATTTGTACGTGATATTTGGCATAAATACCACTTGTGTTAATTCAAAATTGTCTCAAATTTCACTCGCCTAACGACTCGAGAAATTACGTATAACAATTTCGAAATATCACGTTTAGCGTTTATGCCAAATATCACTACAAATTATGCTATTACCTATACTAATATAAGGGCTTAAAGGGACAATATATTTCCTTCTTTTCTTCGCAAGAGTGATATCTTAAGGTAAGGTAAAATGGCCAACAGAAAAACGTGCAACTTGTTTTGCGACTTTGCTTCAAAACGAGTTGAATAGCGACGTTGCGCGTTTTTCCATCCGCGAAATGAAACCTTGCAATCTTAGTTGCTGCAAGACAAGTTCGAACTTGTGTGGTAAAACGCGCATTATCGCTATTCAACTCGTTTTGCAGCAATATTTTAAAACAAGTTGGACGTTTTTTGCTGCTCGTTTTACTGTAGCTTTACCTGTAAACACTTCATGATTGGTCTCGAGGGACCAAATCATTAACTGATTTGTTATGAAACTCACCGGTGCTGAATAGAAGAAGAGGACGATAAGAAGAGCGATGATCACGAATAATAGGAAACCTATGATGTACCATTTGTACCTTCCCCAGATAATATAACGCAGGGACTTCAATGGGGACGTAAACCATAGAAATGAGGTCGCGGGACGTCTGTGGAAAATAAAATAAGTAAAATATAAACAATTCGTGAGAGGCCTCGGGGGGACAGAAATTAATTTCGCAAGGGACTGTTCATTAACGTATTTGCAATGAAGCTCACGAAAAAGAACTTCTACGTCTACAAATTTAAAAAGCACATCTAACAAACGTTCAACATTGGCGGGTAACAGCATGGTTGCCACAGGTCAGGAAATGGTCATGGAAAAAAAAAATATACAAGGTCAGAGAAACATCACAGAATTTCATTTTTAGTCAGGGGAAATTTAAGTCTTTAAAAGAAGTCAGGGAAAAGTGAAATTTTAAGAATACATTTTTATTCTTTTCCTTCTATGTTTATTGTTTTGTTACATTTAGGCTTTTTGTGCATTTTACAGACATGAGTCATGTTTTACTGGAAGAGTATTGCTCATGATATTGAACCTCAAGTTATGTTAAGGAACTACCAATTCATATAGACTGCACGTGACTCGCTGACAGCATGAATACATGGGTGGACTGGGTGGTTGTGTGGGAGGGGTTGATTCCTTTATCAGGTTTCTTTTGTTAAAGTGTTAATTAAGTTGGTCAGGAAATTTTACATTTGTCAGGAAAAAGGTCAGGGAATTTCAGAACCTCTGGCTGTGACAACTCTTTAACAGTGCAAAATTCCAAAACGTTTGGCGGGAAACAGTTTTATTTTGTTAAGTGCCATGTGATCTCTAACAAAACAATGAGAACGTGCTGTTGGAGAAGCATCCAGCTTCATATCAATGCTTGTTAGCAACATATTTCGCCTTATTGGGAGCGACGTCATAAACAAAACACTTCGGCATATATTCTTGGCATGCAGCCTGATTTGTAATGAGAGAATCAACCTTAAATGTTATAGTTAACCTTCAACTTACTGCGGTTCTTCCAAAGTTGGATTTTTGTTGGGATCGTCTCTCCCTTCTCCTGCGGGTTTAGTAAGTGCTTCCGTTTTTGGCATCACTTCTAGGGTCATCTCAATCTTACCCTACGAGAGTAAATGAAAAAAAAGTTATAAATAAATAAAAATAATAAATAAAGTAATTATTATTGTTATCATTGTTAATGGGATTATTAATATTTATTTTTATTCACATAGTTATGATAGTAATAATAATAATAATAATTAGACATATATAAAAACACTAAAAAGAGATAGGAAATAACTTGGTATCCGCAACTGGTCAATGAATAAGAAATTCTTGGTGCTGAAGTTAAGCCTGCTTGTTGTCTACAGCTACAGCTAGTCTACAGAGAGGTAGTTGGCAGGTTACCGCTTCTTGTATTGAGCCTGTTTTCATCGAAGTCGCAGTCCACCACCCATAACAACGTTTCTGTTTGAATAAATCCAGCGTAGCTGTTGTTTCTGTGGGAAGCTTGCAATATCTATCGCTAGTAGCTGGCTTTATCAACGATGTTAGATCCAGTTGAAGTGCGCCTGCAAGTGGAAACGGGTCATAATTTTATTTCAAAGTAATCTCCTTGATTTATTATAGTCTCTTTAATCAGTAGCGGTCAGCTTTCTCCATCTTTTTTAAATCATGAATCAATTTTTATTTTCCTTTAAGGTATTTAGCTAGTGCTGACCAAATTTGGAAAGTGCTTGCTTCTTTGGAGCCCTTTAGAGATACATTGTACATTGTATGGTTAAAAACGGGTATGAATTGATTTCAGAACTTGATCATTAGTGGGTAAGCGTCACGTTTACGGTTAATGATAGAGATGCTAAAACACATAACACGATTTCGAATGCTGAGAACTACAAGCAAGTAAAGTTCTCTTCTCGCAATGCTCCAACAATGTTTGTGTTCTTGCCTACCCACAAGACAAGCCTGTTACTAAAGAAGTCTTTATTTTCTATTTCGTCAAACATTGTTTAGGTTTTCGTTTTTTGGGAACTTGAGTAATCACCTCGATTAGCGAGCTTTCTAATACAGGGTGTACAAAGTTGTGCTCACCTAGAAAATCATCGCTTGCAAATCCAAGATCATTGTCCCAAACCTGGATCATGAGTCTGGGAGTAAGTTTCTCCACCGTCGCGTCAAGACTCCAAAAGTGCTCCTGTAGCATTAAAAAAAAAATAGTGGAAACGGTGTTGTGGCACTAAACGCAGTTGATGTCGATGGGATCTTAATCCTTAGACGTGTAGCAAACAAAGAAAAAGGCAAGAACCTTCTCTTCCAATACAAGCTTCTTCTCAGCTGGGATAAACTGGAAGGGAAACACAAATCTCCAGTTGAAGTTCCCTTCTCCGTTCAGTGACCTACACAAACAAAAGTATGGCAAATAAGTAAAGCAATCAAGTCCAAACACCCAATTGCAAATTAAACTCAGGGCGTGGCTTTATATTTGGTGCCCACTGATCTGTATGCAGGGAGAAGATGAACTTTGGCCCACTTAACTTCCTACCACGTGTCCAGTCAGTGTACAAGTGCTTTCACTAATCCTTTTGTGTGGCGTTTTCTTAGGCCTTAACGGTCAGACCCCGAGGCCGGAAACGAAGTCGTTGCTTTGAAAGATGCGGCGTAGAAACGATGCTTATGCTTATTAAAACCTAAAATTGCACGCAGTGCTTGCATACTGATGGGTTAAATTATCTGAAAGTTAAAAGGTTTGTCACTATCAGGCTAAAGCTTGCATACCTGTAGTGGACGTCAGTTTCTTGTGACTCATCGACTCCGTCGATCCACCTAAAATCACGAAACTATGTGCGTTAAGTGAAGAGAGAAAGGTGATTGTTGTCCAATAATAATAATAATAATAACAATAATAATAATACTTACGAGCAAAAAGGTGTAAAGGACTTTAAAAAGATTAAGGGAGAGACCTTTTTAATTGTTAATAATATGCAATAAATTAAATGAATATTAACGCTGTTTTTTTTTGGAGTGAAACTTTCTTTACCCTTTAATATAGATATCACTCATTTTTTCACCAGTGATGGACGTCTCCTCTAGGATCACGTCTTTAGTGTTCCATATAATGACGCGAAGAACGTATCTGACGAGAGAACGAGAGAAGCAAAATCAGTTGTTTGTTGAAAAGTCTCTGAAAATAACATTAAGTATAGGTATCAGAATTGTTTTTTCCGCGTTAGTAACTTACTACTGGGGTTTAATTTTATGAATGGTCGGGCGAGGCATGCACTTCAGTTAGTCAGTTTATTTGGTAGAGGGCATGAGAGCCTGGAGAATGTTTGCGAATGTTCATACCTAATTTTAATATTCCCTTTTCGTTTTCTATCCACTATTATTATTTTTGAAAAACGATTTTTTAAAGAAAGTTTATCACGTGACCAACAATTTCAAAAGGCCTATTTGTACAGTAAGAGCTATGAGAAACTTAATAGAAATAATAAAAGTGTAAAGACCAAATCTTACTCTTGTGGTTCGCGCGGTTTGATGTTAACTGCTACAGGTACTTTGCCCTCTGATGTCGGGAAGATGTCCACCCACAGCTGCAACTTTCCCTGTGAATCAGTTAAAGTCGCAGTAAGCAAACGTTCTGTAAGTACCGTGATGCCCCGTAAAAACCGACGAAACATTGTTGGATGTTACATGTTGCGTCCGGTTGCACATCCTGTGGCATGTTGTTGAGTGTTGTTAGGAGTTGTTGCGCAAACTTTGAAACCGGTCAAACTTTTAGCTACGTGCACACGGACTCAACTCCCAACATTTGTTGTTGTGTCCGTTTGCATTTGGTTTAAAACCCCAATCATAAGCCCTGGTCTTATACAATAGGCCGTTTTCAAGAATACCATAAAGCTGAGTGCAAACGGACGTAACAGTGTTGGGAGTTATTGGCCAACAATGTTGCGTTGTTTGCAATGTTTGACCGGTTTCAATTTTGCGCAACAACATGTAACAGGGTGTGCAAACGGCCGCAACTTGTAACATCCAACAATGTTAGTAGTTGTAGGCCAAAAATGTTGCGTCCGTTTGTACGTAGCTTGACGCCGTGCTGGGAGAGTCTGTTTGACCGTTAAGCTACATCTCTTAACTTCACGTTCAAATGGCTTCATTTGTTCGACCTAGATTTTTATCCAACATTTCCCGTTACGCTAGCGAAGCCAAAAATACGCTCAATCGGAAACCGAGAATGCGCCATAATTTCAGCGGTGTCGATGTTTGGTCAAAAGTCCCGTAAAAACGGACGCAAAATTGTTGGCAATTGTTGCGTCCGTTTGCAGAAGCTAAAAGTTTGACCGATTTCAAACTTTGCGCAAAAACTCCCAACAACATGCAAAAGTGTGCGCAAACGCACGCCTCACGTAACGTCCAACAATGTTGCGTCCGTTTGCACGGGACTAAACACTAGTTTCTTGTCCAGCTACCCTATGTTGAATGTGACTTGGACAAAAATATCCAGTCATTTATCCAAGACCTTTAACTAAAGGCTTACTTGCTCCATATTCGGCTGCTGTGTTTTACTGTACAAGCTCCTCGTTTCCACGTGTTCAGGAACCAGGTTCAGCTGATTAACTACATAGAGCGCCAGTCGGCTTTGTTCTTTTCCAAGATGTTCGTGGATCACCGTTCCTTCTTCTTCTGTCAAAAAACGAAAGAAATTTCAAGAAACGTCATCATTAAAAGAATCAGTAAGAAATGGAATAGCCATATTAGAACCAACAGATTGTTTTCACATGACGTCACCGCAGCCATATTTGTGTACAAAACAATGGATCGGCATCCATGTTTGTGTACAAAAAATCCTGTGGGAATTGAACTCTTTCCACATGTTAAAACTTTCTTTTATTAATTCCAAGCAATTTGCAAAGCTGCTGACCACGTGACTGAAAACAATCTATTCTGAAACTTCCGATTATTTCCTATCTGTCTTGACACATTTTAAGGTAAAATTCCTCAAAAGAAGTTAATAATTCGGTTAAATTGATGTACTACAACTCATGGCTTAGGCTATATTGACCAAGGGCCTTACCAAAATCAGATAAGGTGTACGTTACTCCATCAACTGTCACGGAGGATGGATCGTTGCTGTAAACTGGAGGGTCTTTGTTGTGGGCTACGCACCAATCTCTCAGAATCGTCTTTGGCTTACGAGAATCCCTCCATTTGTTCGGGCCAGTCCTTGAAGACAATGATAATAAATCACTCTTTAATCATTATAAATCAGCGTCATCAAGCTCATCGTCGTGGTCGTTGTCATGCAACTTCAGTAACTTTATCAACATCATCACCACAACAAATTTTTTAACGTTATCAGTATTTAAATCCTCGTTATCACGATCGTCACAATCATTATCTCTTACTTGCAATAGGACTTTGGGCAACCACACGTGGCCCGATGTTGAGACAGTAGCCTCTGTTCCAAGTCTATCTGTGTTTCACCGATGATGTCATCGCGTCCAATGAGATCATAATCCATAACAGCAATTTTGAGGTCTTTGACAACAGGAATGGTAGCCGTGAATTCGAATGATCTGAAAACAAAGAAATGCAATTATCATTTTTGGTAGATAAGAGTGTTCGTGAAGTTACTTAAAGTTCCTTCAAACACCTTCACGAAGAACTTGACGTCACAGGTGCTTGTTTGTTGCAGCTTTATTAAAATTACCTTCCAAACACAGGATTGAGGGTGTACGGTTTGTAAGTGTCTTGGTCATCAAACTTTTGCTTGCCTAAGGTGACTATTAGGTAAGGGTCAGCCTGGTAAGTGAAATGAATAACAAGGACAAATTAAAAACAATTCTTAATTCAGGCAAATCATAAATTTAGTTAAGTACAAGTTGACAATGTATAGTATACACTAAACGTTCATGTGATCAAGCATCTTACTACAGTTACTTACAGTTCCTGAATCATCCCTTGGTTGAAGGTTCAAAGCCTGAGAGGAAAAAGCAGAGGTTTATTGTCACATTACTATTTCTATAGTTGACTTTTGTCATTTCTCAGTTATTTTAAGACCCTGAGTATTGGTCCGGCCCCGGGAATCGAACCGGCGACCTCTCGCTTTGCATTCACACGCTCTACCGACTGAGCTAGCACTGCCACGGTTAAAACTAGCCTGAGAAAACAGCCGGCTGTCGCGAAGACAATACTGTTTTCGCCACAAAATGACGTCTGAGAAACGAGCGCAGAAATTCCATACTGGTTACTTGTTACTACCCAGATCCGGTAATGCTTCTGATTTGTTAAAGCAAATTTGCCTCACGGCACGACCAATCAGAAGCAATACCCAGATCACAACCCACAATCCCCTTAATCACTCCAACTAAGGGCTGGCGCTCGAAATGTCATCTTCACAACTTAAATTTACCTTGATGACATACAGGCGAACGATACACTCTATCGGTTGACTTGGAGGGAGGTATGTGAATACAGTCTTTGGTAAGGGCCATGTCCTTTCATCCTCGGGCATAGGGTAAAAACGAAACGTTCCCTAGAAGTGAAAGACATTCCTTTAAGCATACATGCAATCTTTTAATGGCTTGAACTACCTTCCCATTTCACTTTTGTTTCACCGTGCATAAAGTTATCGAACAATATTATGGTTATAAACCCGGTCCTTCATTTACATGTAAGCACACCAGGACTCTTCTACAAAAACTGTAAAGAGTAATGAAGTTACACGTCAAGTAACGTTCTGAAACAACAATTCGCTCGTCAATATCTTGCAATATTTTCCCTTAACATTCTAAACAGGTGATTGGGCTCGAGCATTTGAGCTCTTAAAGACATAGAAGTCTTCTAAATGGAATGGTCACCCTTAATACAATAAGCATAAATTTTCTAGAAAATTCTGACAAACTAAAAAATAATCTTCAACCTTAAATTCGCCAACAACTGTGTCTTCCTCCTCTTCTCTGGACTTTGCTTTTCCTCGGTAAAAAGGAAAAGAAGAAATGAAATCTTGAAAACCGTCGAATTTTTCAACTTTTTCCAGCTCCGTTTGGTAAACCTTAAATAGAAGGTTTCAAGGAGAATTAATTCTGTGTAGGTCAGTGATCTTAAAATAAGTATTGATTGATATTAAGAAATGGCCCTCCAATAACAGCAGACTGTGGATCGGCCTGAGATTTACCTTCCACTCAAGGTTTTGTGGAAAGGGAAGGAAAAAGTCCCATATTACAATGATTTTCATTACCTTTTCGATACAATTATTATTATAATATCATTATCATCATCATCATTATCATCATTATTATTACTATCATTGTAGTTATGCACCTAGAGAAAAAAAATGACATTGACTGAACCTGTCAAAGTGGAGACATAATCTACTTTAAGCACTTCAAATCGAGATGTTTTTTTTTGCTTATGTGCAGCCTTGAACGTTTCACGAGAAAGTGAACAGTTGATGATCGTGGACTGAGAGAATTAAAAGAAAATAAATGTTTTTGTAACAATGGAAGCACTGAAAATGTACTTTAAACTTTCTGTGTCTCAACAGAAATATCTCGTAATATTTAACAATTATTCCTCGAGCCCGAATGAGTTCTGAGTCAATATGTTCTGAGTCTATGAGGGCGAGAGGAATAATAATTATTATTGTTTTAGTAAAATCCAACTAGTTGGTCAAAAATATCGAGACAAAACAGCTTTAGCTAGTTAAAGCTAAAGTTTAATCTTCTTTGCCGCCAAAAAGTCGGCGCTTTTCGCTACTAGTACCAATCAGAACGCAGCATTGATAATAGACCTCTAGTTGGATTTTACTAATATTAAATATAGAGTATAGCTCACCGTCATCTTCGCGTATCCTTTGTTAAGGTATTCTGCAGATTTTTCCTCGTCACCGATTGACGCAAAAAACTTTGACCACCAGTCCAGATTATCCTCAGTAACTTCTTCCTTCTTTTCCTAGAGAAAAAAAGGCAACAAATGCAAAGAAAAAAAAAAGAAAAAAAATGGTGTATACTGGCAATTAATTTTTTTTCTTGATGAGAACCGTTTTGCAAAAGGAGGATATTCTATTTTATCAAGGGTTAGGGTTGCGAGCGAGATCAATCAAACGCTGTGCATTGCGAAAGTTTACATGATAGACAGTTTTATACACGCGCGAACAGATTGCATCCTACGCATTCCATTTATTTGTAGTGGAAGTCCAAACTAATGCGTGTTGTGAATGCCTAATAGTAACCAAGAGATTGGGATCGCAGGTTCCTCTGGTCGCCCACAGTAACTAAGACTTTCAACGGGGTGAACTCGCAGTCTTATATTGGATGATCAGTGGCTAAATATGCGTTGTGTTGAATGTCTGGCCAACAATTCGTTACTTGTTAGAGGGACTCTCGTCCCGTTTATATGGAGAAAAATTGTCTCTGGTAGAAGAGTCACCCGCCTAACCTAGCTACCCTGGGGCATACATTTCCTTACAAAACGTGGCGTTTGCAGTTGGCCCGGTTAGAAGGGCGACTTACCTAAGCGGGTTGCCTAGCCATTCTTTTAGAGTTTGAAAGTAATAGCAACACTTTTAAATTACACATGTAAAAGTTTTATTGAATTGATCTCAGATGTTCAAAGGAATACCTGATGGATCGGGGAAGAGAATGAACGACCAACGGATGTTGTCTTCAGCAGTTGATCTGTCTTGACGGCGCCAAATTGCGCCCAGTGCCCCACCAAACTCAGTTCCCTCGACTTAATAGTTTCCAAGACAACCTACCTTCTTCTTCTTTTTTTTGGGTTCCTTGACATCCACAACATGCGAGGCTTGCTTGCTTGTTGTTGAAGCGGTGTCCGCAGGAGCTACAGGTAAAAGAAAGTTCAAAGTTTCTGATATCCGCAATAGTTTTAAAAGATAATGGTTTTCTACGGCGACATGTCTCGTCTGGCCTTTAAAAAACAAAGTTTCGTATTTTTGGGAGATTTAACACATTAAGGTAAAGAATAGCACCCAAGGATTCTATACCCTCGAATAAAAGTAGGTCTTTGATCCGCGCTCCTGTTCTTTCATATGAATGTATATCAAACATACGACAGAGTGCTTAATCCAACGTGCCGCGTAGTATTTCTCAAACAAAATGATTATAGAAGGGGAAATTAACAATGCAAAATGAGGAGTTTTTCATTTGACTACATAACACTTATTTAATATTAACTTCTTTATTATCTTCTTTTTGAATTATTAACTAGTTTATAAACTATGAAAAAATGCTTGCGTCAAAAAATGTACTTTTTGGTCATGCGTAGTACTAATCCAAACAATGCGGAAGAATTTGAAACAATAATTTAAGAAAAATACCATAGTGAAGGTCTCAACTCCTTATGTTCTCTTGTTTTGGAGATATTGGCTACATTCCATACACAAGAATAGTTTGGACAAATACGTGACCAATCTTAAGCCCTTTATCCTCAGCGTGCTAAGATATCTACTGGCAAAGAGAGTTAAGTTGGTGAAGTAATGATTTCACTAATATGAATGTATTCGATATATACCTTGTAAAGTGAGTGCGTAAAATGAGCGCACCGTAGGCCACAGTTTCGTATGGTAACGAGCATTGTTACAATTTACCGACTTGAAATAAGGTCATTTACCGTTACTGTAAAAGCGCCAGAAAGTAACTCTTACTGGTCTATAACCAGATAATCAAAGTAAAGGTTAATTTAAGGGCACTCTAAATTAGGTAACCTTTTGTTTGTTGGGCCTTCGCCCCCGAGTCAACCTCTTCAATGATTTGAGGTGTAGGACAGCGGTACTTCTGAATAGACCTCACTGAATGCACTCCTACGATTGGTCGGCGACCAAACGTTCGATTGTCACGGACACGGATGTTTAGTGATGGCATGTAGATGTCTTCCACTGGAAGATTCTGTAACAAAAACATTAAGGGTTCGATTTTCTTCAGTTATTTTTCTAACTTGTGGGCACCCGGCGTTTGCTCCTTTCAAGAAATGATCTTTTATATCGACCTAAATTTGCCCCTCAAATTAATGCGAGCGATTTTTGATCCTACCTGATAATATGGTTTAGCTCCACATATGGCTTCTGTGGTTGTTGAGTTGGCTCATATCATATGGCTTCTTTGCTAATATTGCTAAATTGTCCGAAGCATTTTTTGCGTGTTATTAGCCTTTCAATCAGTACAATTCCATGACACTTATATTACTAAATGAACAGACTACGTTATTGGGAGAATCCGACATTTACTTCCGAGGTGAACAGAGCAAAAAAATGTCTTCTCTGATTACATTTAAGCTAGCCTGCGTCATAGACGTAAACAAATATCTTTTTTTTCCGGGCCCGCAACGTAAAGGGCTCAACAATTTACCGGAAAAGCGTTTCTCTTCAACTTGTTTGACAAATTGGCGATAACTTTTTTTACAAATCAACGATGCGCATAAGTACCAGAACAAGAATTTCGGCGCTGGCTCGAAGGCGGACTTAACCAGAGGTTTAGTTTAGTCTGTGGCGTACACTCTCCATTAAATTCGCCATTTGCAAATCTCCCATACAACACCTTGCTTGCCCCACCCCCCCCCAAAAAAAAATGCCTAGCCTGGTACCTAGAGAAATTGAAGACAATACGTATTTGAAAGTTGAGGGTGTAAGAGAAGGGACGGGGGGGGGTTGGAGGGGAGCAAATAAGGTGTATCGTGGCAATGTACAACTGACGAATTTCTTTGCACAGTTTCTATAGAAGACTAATATCTTGCGTGCATCACCTCAATTGCAGTTGTTTAAATTTTTCTTACAATCGTATTATGTGAAAAAAGAAAAGAAATAGTTACCACAATCATTCTTGTCAAAACCGGATTTTCAAAGTTGGGGTTCTTTCTGGTGTCTTTTATGACCTCAGACTGCACCATTTCCCCGGCGCATTCAAACTCGATGCTTGGTGATGTCACGCTTGTAAGCTGGAACTTTTTCATGTTCCTCACACCCCAGCACAAGACCTAAGAGCAACATATGACTTTAAACAAACGGACTAACTTTTAGGCTGCCGCAACCTAAATTCTTTTTTGTTTTGTATTGTCAGTACTTAAAGGATTAGTCTAAAATGGGTTTATTAATATTGTTAACTTTCATTTTGCCAAGCAATTGTTGTTACTGGAGTTGTTGTCACTTTTTTGGCTCTCCATCAAGTCAATAGGCTCAAACGTTAGTAGTAAAAAAACAGTGGTATTGGTAGTTGTGGTGGTGGTAGTAGCAGTTGCAGTAGCAGGTCATGTGCTCTCCCTCTGGTCAATGTTGCGAAAAATTTGAAAGCGCTCAAAAATTTTAGGTACGTGCAAAAGGACTTAACAACCCCCAACAATGTTGCGTCCATTTGCCTGAGGGTTTGGAAAGTAGAAGTAGCGATAGAAGTAACAGTGGTGGTGGTCGTCGTAGTGGTTACGTAGTGGTGGTAGTGATTGTGGTGGTAGTAGTGGTAGCAGTAGTGGGTCATTTATGTGTTCTACATCTGGTCAGTCAGACCTCAGAAAGTAGCAGCGGTAGTAGAAGAAACTGTGGTGGAGGTCATTTAGAGTGGTTACGTAGTGGTGCGGTGTTGGTGGTGGGGGAGGTGGTATTATTAAAAATATTGCCAGATGTCTTTCCAAATACTGGTTTCGAAAGCCATTACACTAGTATTTATTCAGTACCCCCACCCAAAAAACCCAAAATGAAACGAAAAAACTGGTAAGCAATTTTGAGTATGCTAACCTCGATCGCTGACCTCTGCAACTTCGGGCGCACTCCACTGCGAACTGCAAATAGTTCTCCCCTCATAGGTGGGGTAAAGGGTAATTCAGCACCTTCATCCTGTCAGTTTAAAATTTCAATTAAGCGGATGTTTGCATAATTTGTCAGCGTCATCATCATAAAATAAGAAAGTAATGCAAAAATAGACTAAAATATTAGCTCTGAGGAGTAGTCGCTTTTAATAGGCCATTTCCGAGTTCCAAAATCTCACTTTCGGAAAGAGGGTGAGTGCAAAAGCTTTATTTGCATGAGAATAAAAATCATGATAATATTAACGGTTCGCTCTTAGCCTCGTTTTGAAACTGAGGCGTGACGTGGGTGGTGGGGTTTGGAGGGAGGCGAAGGAGCTGGGTGGCGGTTTTTCACTATGTTTTCAGCAGTATTTTCTTCTAAATTCTCCGTTTTTTTTTTCGTTACTGCTATTCGTTTATGCGTTAAACGCAATTTAGAAAAGTTGTTTGACAACTGATTGCCGTTAGGTGACGAGATTTGAGGTTATGGTGCTTTTAATTTTTAGCTACCTATCGAGTGAAGGTTTAAAGTATTCCAAAATACTTTTTTTAAAAGTAGATCACAAAGCCAAGACTAGGATGGTAGGGATACTGCACGTAGCAGAATGTTCAATCGTCAAGCCATGCGAATGCAATAGCTGGAATATAAAAGTTAAGCCCAATGATCGGGTGGAATTTACTATCAGATGAGATGTTAGTTAACTTAACATTTAGATGAAACGCTTTGATAAATGACTTAATTAACTTAAGGATATTGCGAAAACCTCGTTTCACATTTATTGTCATTTTGAAAGCAATTTTTTTTAAATCTACCTTAAAATGAATTTTCAATCTTTAACCTGACCACCCGTTAGCCTGCGAGCAAGCGGGCACTCTGGCTCCCCTCCCCCTATTGCTGTTTTTCAGTGTCACGCCATTCAAAATAGATCAAAATAAAAATTAAATCCATTCAACAGATAAAGTCCAGAATCTGGGAAATGAAAGGAGGTAAATATACAAATACCCTCTCCAAGATTTGGGTCGAAGGAATAATTCCTATTCGAGATATCCAAGGAAATGTTTCACCCAAATTTATAGAGCTTTGTATGGAGACGCCATGCTGGAGCTCATCCGGATGAGCTGCAAAATGGCGGACCGAAACCAACAGAAACATCTGTTACCGAGTTTTGCTACAAAAGCGTGCATTTACTCCTAGAGGAACTCATAAACATTAAAGTAATACTTTTTTTAATACTTGAACTGTTTAGATAGCAAAATTACGCGGAAAAAAGTCACTTTTTTAACCTAAATGACAGCTCTCTCGGCTGTCATGTAAATGCTGGGTCACGCAAAAGCTTATAAATTCAAGCGTACTCTATTACAAAACCAAGGACCCTTTTGAAGCGAAAATTTGTTTGAAAATTAGTTTTCAGCTGCTCTAATACACCATGAAAGTAAATTTCAGTAGGATCGAAAGTTTTGTAGTTTGAATTTTAGTGACGTCATGTGAAAACCAACAATAGCGTCCCGACCTGCCTTTTTTTGGGCTACAACCCCGTTTTGGGGAAAAACATTTCCCATGGTTCAATTTGTTGGGTGGGGGTGGTGTACTTCATGGAATCTTACTACGGAATGAAAAGAATTCTGAAGCCTTACGAGGAAAAGTTCACATGCAGCCAGCAGCTCCCCTCCTTTTTCTTCTCCTCGCCTTATTTTGTACCATTGCAGTGAAGGTTCAGGAGTCTGATGTCCCTCTAATCGCACTAACGGTGTCATCATACAGCGACCAAGGAAGCCATCTTTACCCTGAGAAGCAATTCAATAACGCGGAGTGACTTTGCTAAAGAAATTGAAAACGGTTGTTGTCTTAGGAAGTCCTTTTTTTCTACAGTTGAACCTCTCTACAATAGCCACCTTGGGGACAGAAGGGGGTGGCCGTTATCGAGAGGTTGAAACAAGAGTGAATGTATGGACTGTCCGCCAAACAAAAATGGCCGTTGAAGAGAGGTGGCCGTCAGTGTAGGCTCGACCGTAATTATACTTCTCAAGGTTATAATTGTCTCTAAATTGCACTTCGAATCTAACTATAGTTTATTAAATATTTTCTATTTAACCAGATATATATTTTCAAATTTTTAAGATGCCTTCTAAAATTTTTCTCTACAATTAAAGCTTCTCACATGGAAAATCCAAAATCAAAAACACCAAACATTTTTAATCTTGCAAAAAGGTCTGCCTTATTATACGACTCTTCACAAGTTAGGGTGGATTCTAGCCATTGATGTTGGTATCGATTTGAGCAAAGACTAAATATGCGCCCCATCTAAGGTAATCTAGGACAGACTTGGATCCTTGACCCCACGCTCTGAATTCCAGATTTAAGAGGTACTGGATTCCGGACTCATTGTCAGTGGAACTCGGGGCGCTTTCCATTTAGACAAAATTTCTGAAAATTTCGGTCGGGAACTAAATGGAAAGCAATTCTTTAGTTCGTCCCACAGGAAAATTCCCGGAAAGGGTATTCCCGATTTTCCGGTTGAAACGTTCTGAATGGATTTTAGTGTTCCATTACCACGATTCTCGTATTTAATAACAGTTCCAGGTCCACAAAAAGAAATTTGCCATGTCCATTTGGGGAACAATGGCCTCCGTCACAGTTTATCAGTGTACAATATTTGTTTTTTCAGTACTGACTCGATGGAATCGCTTTCAAATCCTAAAATGCCTTCCTCTTGGAATCGGTAGGTACCTGGTGTTTGGAAGAATATATTCAAATGCTCAAGTTCACTTAGGCCTCCTAGAGTAATCGGTAAATTAGACTGACTTTCCTTTCCTTTCTTTAGACACTGGCTCCATAGATTTTAGTTGACCGCCTTCACTAGGAATTGGTGGTCCTCCAAAGCGGTTTCTTTGAGGAATACGACCTGTAGCGGCCACTTCTCTGCACAACTTTTCCAGTGTGCCTCTGGTCATCCGGAAGTGCGACTTTAACATATCCAACGCCGAATAGCTTGGTATGACCTCTTGTTTCTGTTTAGCTTTCGCTCTATAAAAGTCGATATCACTGCCATTTGATAAATTTCTTTCTCGCCATCAGAAGCTGTAATCATTTCCTCCTCTTTATCCGCTAATACCTGATCCAAAATTACTACCAACTCGGCAGCTATCTTGGTGTCCTGTCTGGTAGCGTGCGCCGCGCCAGGATATGCGATGTGAAATTGAACGACCTTTTCCCAAACAAACATTCCAAGGCTTTTCCAACCGAAGTTTCCAAACTTTTTTCTAAATGGAAACCGCCCTTGTCCTGATTCCAATCGTCAATCGTAAGCTGGATTTCGAATTCATTCATCACCTTCCTGCACTTTATTACTATTTTTAATTATTATTACTATTGATATCATTATCGTTATCATCATTATCATTATTATATCATTATAAAAATAATAATAATGATAATAATAATTATTATTATTATTATCTCTGCATAATGGAATTCTTTATTTTATAGAATTTTGAACTTTTATTATTAATTATATCTATTTCCTCTTCTTTTATGTAAGGTTGAGTTACTTCTATTTTTTAGAATTTGTAAATGAATAGTTTCTTTCTTCACTTATTATATATAGGATTGTTTTTGTTCTCTAATGAAGGCCGAGGGGTTTCTTTTGTAACGGATGGAATTGTAGATAGTGTTTTGATGAATTAATTAGATTTTTTGTAACAGCAGGTTGATTGTAAATAGGATTTTAATTGAGGTTTTGTAATAAAGATTTTAACTTTTTTATATTTATTATTATTATCATTATTATTATTATTATTATTATTAGTAGTAGTAGTAGTAGTAGTATTGTTATTAAATTTGACATGATTCAAAATCATAATCTTATAAATGCACAGAAATTAAAATGAATTACCACAGCATCCTTATCAAACAGCTCCACTACAACCCTTGGTGGGTTCTTTGCCACGTTGTCCACTCCCTCGTATATCTCGATATCATCGAAAATTAACGTCTGATCCCAGGTTGGGCTCAATGTCTGCGTCATAACCTCCGTAATTTCACTCTGTTTGCAAAATGCTACTCTTGCGTAAGCATCTAGCGAGAAAGATAAGACATTAACTTTTCGTTTTGAATCAGCTCTTTTAAGTTAACAGGCTAACTTAGACATTCATTCGTACCATAAACAAGCGGATTGAGGACAACGGGCTAAAATTTGGCCAAGAAAACACCACGTATGTAAGAACCAATTTAGCCTGATAAATTAAAACATGTTCTGATGTAAAAAGAAAGAGGATACAAGAATGAGAAACCAATACTGACAATAACTGATATGTTCACTCATATAACTAATAGAATACATTTACTTCTTTCTTTCTTTGGAAAGGTAATATAACATTTGTCAATTAAGCTCTAGTAATGTATGAATAATGCATAGTATTTCTGAAACAAATCTTAGGAACATTTATGAACATTTCAGGCTGATTTCTTACTAATCACTTGGTAAATAAGAACTGGATCAGCATGAACTCCTTAATCATAGCTTCTTATATGCAGGTCAGTGTTTCCTGTATTGTATGAGAAAATCTCATGCATTTCAGTTGCCTTCCTGTGGGACTAGCATTGACCTTCATTTTAATGATATCGTCAATATACTTTTCTCTCAATTTCTCTTCCCTTTTTACTGTCTCTTTGATGCTAATTTTTAATTTGTAACGTAATTTCATTGAGGATGCCAAAGATAAGCTTCATATTTTCCTTCACGCCTTCTCACCACTGGTACCATTGCATCATTTAATATTCTTTATTTCTTTTTACTGTTTTTTATTTATCATTTTTAAATTGTTTTTTTGGTGAAAATAAATAAATAAATCTATAAATAAATAAAAAATAAAGAAAGAAATGAAGTAATAATATTACTTAGAACCCGAGAAAGAAATTTTTAGATATATGCTTTAGGCTACGAGGAAAACGGACGCAACACTGTTGGCCAACAACTCCCAACATCTTGGATGTTACATGTTGCGTCCGTTTTCAGACCCTGATGCATTGCTGCATGTTGTTAGGAGTTGTTGAGCTAAGTTTGAAACCGGTCAAACTTTTAGCTACGTGCAAACGGACGCAACAACTCCCAAAAATATTGAGAGGTGTTTGCCAACAATGTTGTTTCCGTTTGCACGGGGCTTTAGAAACTGGAATTACTGGGCAATCGAACCTAGGGTAGTTTGATCAACTGTCTATAATACTATCATAGGTGAAGCTTTATCATTAGATGAAGCAAAGATAGATGAGCTCTTTAATACCATTCATTCCACTCTCATCCATGGGAAGTAAATCACGTGCTTGATAAATGTATGCCCACAGCTGGTATTTATGAGGCTCTGGATAGTGAAAACAAAAATATCACAATGAAATATTAAACTTTTGGACTCATAATTTATTCAATGAATGAATAAATTAGTAAACATTTTAAGTTGTGCGTACACGGTAAAATAACCTACATATAGATTCAATACGTTTTAAATAATACTCCTCAGCTGACGTAGGTTTTAACTAAAACTACAAAAGAATATCAACCCCCCTGAGATTTATAAGACGTTTAGCCCTAATTTACACTGGAAAACAATAAACTGAATTAAGATTCTGGAAGTTGTAGTCAAATGATATCATCGGGCAAATGTCCTATTGCCAAAGTTTCCTAGCTCTAACATTTCATAGAAGACAAAGGAAATTCTTGTTTTGTTCAAGAACTTTATTTAACTATAAGAAATACACTTGAAACACTAGGATACTCACTTTTAAATGTTACAAACATTCGGGGGATATTTCTCAAACAATTCTTGCTGTCCTCCTGTTTGATGAAAATAAGAAATAACGCTATGGTTTAAAAAGATGTCACTTGGAAACCAAAATTCCTCAAGCGTTGTAGTTTTCAGTGTATGTACGTGAGTGCAGCTAGTCATCACGCTTCGTGCAGAGGACGTTTGTATCAACAAGATCCTTTCATCTCAAACTGTATTGTAAAACGGACAGTCAACTTTGTTTGATTTTTTTTTATCTGTTTTACAGTCAAATCTATTTATTTTACCTTTCTCTAGCACCTAATAAGTAGTTTTGACATTCTTATTTCCCTTGAATCGTACCTCTCCTTCGATCTCTAGAAGACAAACGGGTGGCATTGCGACTTTAACATCTTTTCCAGCCTTTGCACTCATTCTTCTGTGCCACCGACGACGCCTAACAAAATCAATTTTCCTTTCTTTGTGGTGGAATTTTGCCGTGAAAATCGGAGCATATTCCCATCCTTCCTTCGCAAACTCTTCTAGTTCTTTCTAAAATTGGGTAAGAAAGGTTCATAATGGTAAACACCCTGGCGAAATGCTAAAGATCCTGTATGGACTCTTTGTCTGTAGTTAGATTTATCATGGTTTTCCCTTTCCCTTCTTTGCATGGCTATGCGTACAGGGGAAGGGGGGGAAGGGGTGTTGCCACTCCCCTCTGAGGTTTTTCTGAGTTTTTCCTGGACGATGTTTGTTTTTCCCTCGTGCGCACTTAGTGATGGTCAGTCAAAATGGTTACTAGATATGACGTCAAAAGTTGCGGGTGGTCAAGGCATTTTTGGGTCAAAATGCATGTTATTTCAACTTATCTCTACAATAAAAGTAAAGCTTGTGGATAAAATGATGAAAAGTACTTATTTATGGATTATTTTTACTTGTCAAGCACAAAAAATCACCAATTGCTACGGTTTTTGCCTGATTTCTAACTCTTGGTAAAATCCAAGATGGTGACCAAGTTTGTTGACATCTCAGGTCTCCAGCAGCGTCAACACTCATAAAATATACCTCATCTTGTTGAGAAGATCAAAGGCCTTTCACTGAAGGCAAAATCGTTTCCAAATACTGCAACTCTAGGGAGGGGTTCCATCGACCCCTATTCCCACTTGTACCGAGGGTGGGGGTGACTTTGCGTATACGTCCAAGCGTTAATAAACAAAAGAAAGTAGCAACTGAATAGGGGACAAAATTGAAACTCGTCAAAGGAGAGGGGTGAAGGAGAGCGTGAAATAGGCGTGGTGGAGTGGTGTAGTGGTCAAATTTTTACCAGCCATTTGAAAGCAAACGCATTTAGACTTCATTACTCTGATAAGATCGTATGAAGCATCTCGGACATTACATATAAACAAGTCTTAAACACCTCATTAACCCAGTTATGTTTAAAACAAATATCTGATATATTACAATGCACTGCCATTGATTTGAGTTGATCTTTTACCTTAATAATTCACTAAAAAATTAGAGTGCCAATTTCTTGTAATCCTCTTGGCTTTCCTTGGGTTTACTCGCTTTGAGGTTTATATAATCTCGAAATTTGCATTGAAATATGGCAAAATAATCAAACTTAAAACTTGAAGTCAGACGAAACTTGATGAATTTAAGATATGATTAACACTACCTGTTTTACAACAGCTTTTGGGTCTTTTAGTAGCCTTTCTCTGACCCAACGTTTTCTCCTCACTAGATGGTATGCCTTCTGAATTGCGCCATATACCCCGTATGATGTGTCGACTGCGTATTCCCATCCTAAAATTTAAAGAACCTTGATGGTATACTTTTGGAGGGAATTTTTTTTTCTCTCTTTAACACTTGCCTTTTAACACAAGTATCAGCACGAAAATTTCTTCTTGCAATCGATAAGGTTAGTATAGTCTTTGTACTAATTGTTATAATCGATATTCTAAGTAACAAAACACGTACATTATAAGCATCTGCAGCACACTTAATGGAGCGAGAAGACAAATAAATCGCGTTTAATTTTTTGTACTAGATTTCTTTTTTTTATCAGGAGAACAACGCATCACATCGAAACTCGTTACTCGATAGATGAAATGGATAGATGTATAGTTTATTCACCTTAAAAACTTAGAGCCTAAGGGCTGAATAACGATCTATGAGGTCTACAAAAGTGAAAATTTGTGAGTATTTAAAAAACTATTTCAACATTGTAAATTCAAAACCATGCGTAAAATACTTCTACATACAACTTTATATTGCGAGCTTTAGATAAAAAAAAGTGCTAAATTGCTTTCATAACACCTTCGTCATCTACAGCTCTGTTATCATCGACTTGCCAGTCACCAGTCCACTCCCAGCCTTCGGGACAGCTTATCTTTTCTTTCTCGCCGATCTTGTCGCCAACCTTTAAAAAAAAGTTATATAAAAATATAAATGAACAAAAATCATAGTATATTTGAGCAAAATGAAGGTCGTGTAACACGTTCGTACATGACTGTATCAGCATCAGCGCACAAAAACGCTCTTGTGGTCATGACTTTCAAAAACATGCCCGATCCCTATACAAGTTTGATCTTTTTTAGTTACCGTAAAATTCCGACAGTAAGCGCCGGCGCTTATATTTTTCAAGGGCTCTTTTTGAGGGGCTTATTTTTGGAGAGGCTTATATACGGAGGGACTTATCTACGGAGGGAAATTTGCGTTTCGAAATCGATTGGGCTAGCCTTATAGTTGGAAGTAAATTTACCGTTTTTGCTTTGTTTTACTTTGTATTTCCGGGCAATTTTCCAAGTACAAGCCTCCGGGGGCTTATATTTGGAGGCGCATATACAAGGAGGGGCTTATTTTCGGAATTTTACGGTATAATTGATTTGTTTATTAGAGGTAAACCCTGAAATGATTTTCATATTGATCTCTTATAGCCGCAACTAGGAACGACCCTGACAAAATTCAACAACACTAAAAACAAACCACAGTACCACATCTGTCCAAGGTGATGATGCAGGTCCCCATTTCCCACCTGGTATCATTCTTTCCTCGTTTTCAAACGCATCTTCCAAAAAGGTCTTGTGGCCGGAGTCCCGGTCAAACAATAAACTAATAAAAGCAGACAATCGAGAAAAATTAAAGGGCCTTTCCTTCAATCAGTGAACGTTCAGAGCAATGCGCAAGAAATTAAGTGCTGTACTAGAAAATGTCCTAGCGTCCTTAAGCGAGGTTGTACCGCTAAGAGACACGAAAGGTTTAAAAAAGAACGTAGAATGTACGCAGAAAAGCCTGATTGATGGCCATAAGTTTCATGCTTTCAGTGAAGCAATTAGGGACCTTAAGAACAGACGACGGCGACAGCAACGATAACGTCCTAAAAGCAATAGGTTTAATTGCCTGCGTGCAGACGTCTCCTATTTCCTTTGTTGCACGCGGAAATAGGAGACGTCTGCACGCAGGCAATAGGTTTAATAAGCAAAACAACAACTTTGCAGTAGCATCACACTTTTTTGTACATTTCTTTGCCGTTTGTGCACGACTAAGACGTGAAAATGCCTAGTTTCATGTTTTATAGAGGATGTAAACAAACAAAGACGGCATTTTCCATCTCTTTCTTAACTTGGATAAGGCTCTTAAAAATTCAACTCCAGGAGAGTTCGGATACATTCAACAAAGTAAGCGAGTTGGAATAATCGCGATAAAGACTGAAACTCGCGAATTCCCTATAGTTTTAAGTGACGTTTTACCTGCCGCCGCCATCCTCCATCTTAAGGTCCCTATATACTAAAGAACCTAGTTAATTTTAAAATACTAGCGATAACCAAAGGTTACGGAGTGCGGGCGACAAAGATCGAAGGTCAAAACACTTTTGCCTCGGCGTTGTGCTTTGCGTAAGTTTCGCGCGACAGACGATCAAAACACGTGTGATCAGATTACGAGTGATAGATGGTACAAACGCGCGTAATTCAAGTGCGTTCTGTGTATTCCATACATTCTTAGTGGAAGTCCAAACGCATACTGGCTACATACATGCGACGCATGCGTAACAACACCCTGGAGTACGGATTACGGGCGACAACTTTGCATTTTCGTATCTGCCCGTCATATCTTAATTACCTCATCTCCGGTGCAATGAACCAATCTCCATCGAATTGCCAACCTTCGGGAGCCTGGAAGCTTTCTTTTGGCAGCGGTAACTATTATATCGAGTGCAGTCAAGATGTTATTGTATAATAGCTTAAATCCTGTTTAAAGCAATAACCGCATCAAATAGCTAAAAGTAATAAATGCACACTATGGTACAGTCTCGTGCCATATAAAATATGGAATATTTTAGAGCCCATAAAGCATAAAGTCGAAGCCTTCACGACGAATATTGTCATTCATGTCCTTCTAGAGCCTGTTGAAAAAGTTTAAAGTGTCTTTTTAAGTGAAAATATCACATTAACATGCTTCCTGGTTGTTTTTATAAAAACATAGCTGCATTTTTTTTTCTAAGGGCCAGGTTAATATGGTTGCGTCGACCCCGCGCGTCGACTCCACTCGTAATTATTGGAACAAGCGGGGAAAGTTTGGTTTCTTAGTTAATAATGAATGATACGTTCCAGTATCTACACTGTAAAATGAAAAGAGTCAAATCGACCCCAAAGGCCAAATCGGCCCCAATTTCTCGAGGGCCGATTTGGAACATGCTGGGCCGTTTTGGACAGAAAGAGTCAAAACAGTTCTAGATGGTACCAATTCGGCCCATCTAATTTCTGAATCGGCTACACTAAAAGCTACTTTGGCACTTCCTCTCAATTTGGCCCTTCCGATAGCCAAATTAAAATTCCGATTTGGCCCCAACAAGGTCTACTCGGAGCGACCGCGGTGTTCGGTTGAAGTAACCATAGTCACGTCTGACACAATCCAAAGTACGGTCCGTTTAGTCGAGTAAGGAACTAAGATAACTTTAACGTAGACCTAAAACCGTGACGACAGTCAGAGACTGTAAGGTAAATCATGGTTTCGAGCGAACCTTTGCCTCGAGCGAAGGTGCAAATCGGAAACAAAGCTAGAATCACGCTCCCGAATGTTCTGCACGTGATTTCAATATCGATAACATTACATGATGCGTCACGCAAACTAAACGCTGGGAGGGCGTTACAGTACAATATCCCTCGGTATTGATAGCAAACAAAGACCCAGCCATCATGTACATATATTTTCTGATTCATAAGTAAAAGGTTTTTAAAATTTCGAACACCTGCCACAGGATAAAAATGACACGACATGTAAACAATCGAAAACATATTTAAGAAACAATACACAACTGGTCAGCGGGCTGTCCCTATGCACATGCTCTTTGGTGTCGTCCTTTTGGCGTCCATTTGAAAGTACTGCAACGGTTGCGAACATGCTAGTTTCTTTGGGGATCAGGAGTCTTGTATTATACTTCTCGACAGCATCAAAGGACATTCAAGGTGTTGTTAGTAATTATTTTAGAACTATGAGCCGTCGTTGATCCATCAATTCGCTCTTGAAGTTCGTCGTGAAGAATCGGAGACAGAAGCCTCGTGAGGCGCAACGGTTTTCAAGATGAACTGCACAAAATTATAATAATAACAAACGCTCTCCAAGAATCAAGACTTTGCTGGAAAAAGCCGATAGTAAGACCAGGTAAGCCGCCCTGATTCGCTCTCTTTCTACCAAATGCAAAAGACTGAGCTATTTTAACCACGTTTGATGAAACAGAATTCAGGGTCACTCAAGTCCACCTTGTTGGAACGCTTTGAAGAACGGGTCATTAGATGCTTTTAATTTTATTATCTAATGATAAGGAAATAAGTGACCCTGTATTCTGTAGTTAAGCCAGTGGAGGAGTTAAAAAGCACTTCTTCCATCCCCTCACTGTCCCCTATTTAAAACAGGGAGAATGATAAACATATGTAATAAAAAAAACCTTAAAGCCATTTCAACTAAAGAAGATGGTAAGGATGGTGTGGTCTGGTTATACATTTACACTGTAGATTTCAGTAGTTGTTTTGTTTTAAGTAAGGTTTACCTTACCAATGCATTATTTCTCTTGTCTGATAAATAAGTGCAAGATAAATGCATTAAAAATAGAGAAATTTAAAACCCTTTTAACCCTAAGATCAAAATTTGAATGCTCATTTGTTGCCCCTATTCATTTCCTACAGAAGTAGTGGGAAGAAGTTGATAAAATATCAAGCAATTGTGTGATCATGTCCATAATTCTCATGAACACTCTGTTATACAAAGCATTGATATTACAAGGAGAAATTTGATGCTGATGACTCTTAAGGCTTAAAGGGTTGAAAGAATAATGTGAATTATAATAATAAAGTTATACATAAAATTAGGAAATAGAATTTTAGGTTGCAGAATTCTGCAGGTGTGATTGAGGTAACAGGGTCTGTCAGTCAATTTGCTCCCACAATTACTCAGAACTGTGTGTAAATAAACTTGGTGCTCCAAGTCAACCAGTTTTAATTTAATAACATTTCTCCTATGGCAGAAATAGAAAGGCAGGCATCCTTTTGGTAGTGAACAAGGTTCTGCAGCATTGATCGGAGTGCTAAGAGGACTTCGGGAGGAATTTATCACTATTGTAGAGGTAGGTGTTTTGGGAATACAATGCTTTTCCTGATATTGTGATACAAAATACCACAAGAGTGCTACAAACTCAACTGTACATTGAACCCTAAATGCTTGGGAAGCCCAGATACAAGTGGAAGTCAGACAAAATTGAGATGCAATTTAGCTTATGTTATGACGGTATCCCTTGGGGGCCATTCCCGTCACCAGACTACACCAAATCTCACAGAATAATAATGGCTACATAATACTTAATGAATTTTGATTTACAGCTGCAACATTTCTTACTTGGTGAGAAATACATGTACTAAAAGAATCTTGTATCAGGACATGCACACTGTAATACATTATTACCTCCTCAATGATGTGTGAATGTATTAGACATAATTATGCTGTCATTCTTTTTCCCATAACATAAAGGAAGCATAATTTCAACAAACTATAATTTATACAGTATACCATACATGCATACCTGAAAACTGGAAAGAAGTAATTAAACCAACATTTTTTGACAATAGTATTGTTATGACCATACTGACTTTTTATGTGTACGCACTGTTTGTTGTGTTTTGATTATTGTTTTTATCATTTCTAAAATTACAACATTTGTTTTTATTGCAGAGGAATGCGGATGTTGACAGGAAAATTCAGGATTTTGTTGTGACAAAGGGAGGCATTATTTGCCAGTTTCCTCAGAAGAAGATTAATTGATGCAGTGATAATATTGCTGGGGTGTTTTTATGTATTTAATGTATCATACACCCAATGCAAAGCCATCTTGACTTTTCTAGATCAGGCATTGCTTGAAAATGGGCTGGGGTAGACACTTGTCAATGTTTCCTCCCTTTTTTAATGACTTGGCAAATAACTCAGTTCTTGCTGAATGTTAACTCAGGACAACCTTGCAAGGTGTAGCCAAATTGTCAAAATGTTTTTCATGAAAGTTTTCTTTCACTCTTATAGACCAAGATTTGGCAAGATTTTTTAAACATAATATCTGTGGAGTAAAATATAGTTTAAGACATTTGCCAAGTCATTAAGGGCTGGGCTGGTTTACTAGTAAGATACAGAGTCGAAACTGTACAAATCAAAAGCATAGAGTGTTGATCTAGATATAACACTAACAGGGTATAATTACTCCAATTATGACTCCTTCACGTTTGATCTAGTGAAAACTATAAAGCATGGGAACAAGAATTTTGACTGGTAAGTGGTTTATCCTTCAACGATTACACCCCTGCTTAATCTGGTTTTCTACATCATAAGCAGAATCTGAAGAGTAGAAAGTTGTGATGACTCCAATTCCATCAAGCTTCTAGTTATGACTTCCCTTGCAACTCTGAATTTTGATTTTCACTAGGTGATGAGTGCTCTGACTATGACCCTGACTTTGTCACGAGTGAAAACCACCCTTCAAAAGGATTCGGTCAAGTCATTAAAGGCTCGCACTAGCAAGGTAGACAGAGTTGGAGTCATAATCAGAAGCTTGAGAATTGATATAGCTAAAGCATCTTAGTTCCTTATTGCTCTTACAACTCTTTTGCTTCAATCTAATGTACATTGTCGGAATTGTTAGCAAGAGAACTTGACCAACTCTGACAATCTTTTATTTTTTTTTTGTTGTCAAAAGGGGAGTTATAAAAGAAACCTTAATTGACTCCAATTCTGGTGAGCTTTAATTAATGAAACCCTTTACAACTCCAATTTTTGATTTTCACTATAGGTTTTAAGTGTTCCTATGATGCTGATTATGATTTTGACTTTGTCTTTTGTGAAAACCGTTTTAAGAAGTAGTTACTTTGATCGCACCGAAGACAAGTGTCTCTCTTGGCCAATTTAATTCCTCCAATAATTCTAAATGTTCAATCTAGAAAAGTTGAGATTAACCGAAGATAATATTACATAAATAGGTTGGAATACGCGTTGTTATGATGTACACAGATCACAGTAACTTATTCAGAACTGAATAAATGTTTGAAATAAGCCTTAGTTTGGTTTCATTATTTATCAATACCCTAATTAAGGGAAAAAATCTGTAGGCCCCCACCCAAATTAAAAAAACCATAATGGCCCGATATGGGGCTGAATCGGCTACTTTTGGAGGGGTAGTTTTTAAGAGGGCCAAAATTTGAGGGGGCTGTTTTGGCTACTGGAAAATCCAAAATGGCCCTAGTGTTTTCCATATTGACC